TACATTACTAGGCTTTTAGGGCGCTTCGCGCCCATCTTCTTTTCAAATTTTGAACAAGTTCTTCTTTGTTTACATTTTAAAACAAAGAAGAAGAAAATTTCGCGGATTTTTAAAAAAATAATTTGCGGATTTTCAAAAACTAAATTTTTTTTACAAAATTAAAAACCTTTAAAACACATTTTTCTAATTTTTATGATTCGTATAAACCTTCCCTGTGGTCACGTGATGTCCCACGAAAAATTTGGGCCCGATCGGTTCAGCCGTTTTGACGTTTATTGGATACAAACAGACAAACAAACAAACACTCAGACAAGCCAAATTTATATATAGATTAAATTTGAAATAAAAAACTTCTTCCCTTTTTTAACAGCATAGTTGCCTATTTTGCCAATATTTTTTAATGCATAGGGTAGGGTGGACAAATCATAACTTTTTATTAAGTAAGCTAGGGCTAAAATTTATTTATTAGAAAATCCCTTGAAAAATGGATGTCACAACATGTGTCACGTGTAGGCCATTCCAATATCGTATATACATATTCGGTCCAGCCAAACGGCTGGACCGAATGGGCTGAAATTTTTTGTGGACACTCATGGGTGGCCCCCCGCGTTATAGGCTAAAAAATGATTTTTCCAAATTGATTTTTTTCAAATTTTTTTCCCCACTGGCAACGCCAGTCCCATATGTTAGTAATCCAATATGTAGGATATGAAAAATATTGTCCTATATAATCCAATATGTTAGATAGAACAAATATTGTCTTATATAATCCAATATGTAAGATAGAACACATATTGTCCTATATAATCCAATATGTAAGATAGAACAAATATTGTCTTATATAATCCAATATGTAAGATAGAACAAATATTGTCTTATATAATCCAATATGTAAGATAGAACAAATATTGTCTTATATAATCCAATATGTAAGATAGAACAAATATTGTCTTATATAATCCAATATGTAAGATAGAACAAATATTGTCTTATATAATCCAATATGTAAGATAGGACAAATATTGTCTTATATAATCCAATATGTAAGATAGAACACATATTTTCCTATATAATTCAATATGTAAGATAGAACAAATATTGTCCTTTATGATCTGTAGTTTATCAGAAGATAATGAAATAAGTTATGAGTGTTGCACTTGAAGAAGAGGTGAAAAGCTGGCTTTCAGAACCTGCATATCAGAAGGTAGAAATTCGGTCTGCTCTGCACAATATTTATCTCAATCAAACATATTTATTTTTATCGTAATAAATGTAAAAAAATTCTGTTTCCTCTATATCATATGTATTCTCTTTATCCTTTGAATCTTTTGTATCCTCTGTATCCTCTGTATCATCTGTATCCTCTGTATCCTCTGTATCCTCTGTATCCTCTGTATCCTCTGTATCCTCTGTATCCTCTGTATCCTCTGTAACCTCTGTATCCGTTGTATCCTTTTTATCCTCTGTATTCTCCGTATCCTCTGTATCCTCTGTATCCTCTGTATCCTCTGTATCCTCTGTATCCGCTGTATCCTCTGTTTCCTCTGTTTCCTCTGTATCCTCTGTATCCTCTGTTTCCTCTGTATCCTCTGTTTCCTCTGTATCCTCTGTATCCTCTGTATTCTCTGTATCCTCTGTATCCTCTGTATTCTTTGTAAACTCTGTATCAACTGTATCCTCTGTATCTTCTGTATCCTATGTATCCTCTGTATCCTCTGTATCCTCTGTATCCTCTGTATCCTCTGTTACCTCTGTATCCTCTGTATCCTATGTACCTCTGTATCCTCCGTATACTCTGTATCCTCTGTAAACTCTGCATCCTCTGTATTCTCTGGTTCCTCTGTATCTTCTGTATCCTCTGTATCCTCTTAAAAATAACCTTTTAATCATTGTAAAAATATTGTTTAATTTTGGTTATGTGATTTTCACGGATTTTTTAAAAGTACGATTAATCTGTATCTTGAATAAATCCATAATATTATTTCTTATATTTCTAATGAGTAGTTAATGATCTGGTGTAAGATATTTTGATAATTATTTTGTATTTATGAAAGATAAGTTAGATAATTTAAAACTAATAAACAATTCATATGTCTCGATGTAAATATTAGTCATATGTTCTACTATATGGGGGGGGGGGGGTTCAGTGACTTTTGGTTGTACAAATTTACTTCTTATTTCAAATTTAAAGATATCAGAAAAAGGCAAGAAAATGTAAAATTAGGGTTAAAAGTGCTTTTTATAATTATTCAAGTATAATGTTAGTCAAGCTTTAGGGTTAGGCACATTTAGACAAATTTTGTAATGTTATTTTGGACGCTTTTTGTATCAGACATATTTTATAGACTTATATCGTATTAGATTATATATAAATATATAAAGAATCAGCTTCGCATCAAAACATTTTAAGATATTTCAGAATCTCACTAGGATGTTTCATGTCTTGTGGCAATCTTTAGTAGATTAATCCTGCGATATTGTATGCGATACTAAATAGTCTCGTTTCTATCAAAAGCTCCCCCCGGCCCCACGCCAACAAATTTATAATATTAAATTATGGATTCGAGTTTATTCTTTAAGTAAATAAATATGAGGTCAAAAAAGTCAAATTTTATAAAAATCAATATAAAAATGTGGTTGCCTTATTCTAAATGTCGTAGTGCCTAAACCCTAACTGGTCCATTCTTTTTATTTATCATTGTCATCTGATAGAGCAAGACATTTTAAAGGGACAGACCGGCTATGTAAGGTAGTTAAACTGAGTATGCAGTGTTGTGGACAAATTCTTTAAGATTCATTTGAGACATATAAAACTTTTTAAAGATCTGTAAATCCTGAGTTTGAGCGCAAAGTTGTCGTTCAAAATCATATTTTTGGGTGGAAACGTTTTCAGATTTTTTTTAATTATTAAATAACGACGACAAAAAATGTAAAAAAAATTTTACGGTAAACTAATTAGTTGCTTAGAAACAAGTGGAGAAAATAAAAATTAATCTTATCTGCAGATTTTCTAGAATCCTGATTGAAAAGACGACATTTGAAGAATTTGTAGAAATCTGCGAATAAATTCATAGAAAATAAGAAATGCAATATAATGATGAAAATGAAATAATTGATTCTAGCATTGATTTATTGAAAAAGTTCTTTTGAGAAATATGTTCCTAACCATCAAATAAGTTTACTGTATAATTTTTATTTTTCGTCGTCGTTATTTAATAATTGAATAAACCCGATTCTGAAAACGTATCCACCAAATTCATTTTTTGAACGTAGACTATGCACTCAAACTCAGTAGTTATACATCGTGGAAACGAAATGAATCCTAAAGAATTTGTCCACAACACTGCATACTCGGTTTAAATACCTTAAATAGCCGGCCTGTCCCTTTAAAGAAAATTATTCTTATTTCTTATTTACACTGTATTTACAGGTGTTCAAGCATACATTTGATGTTGTACGAGATTATGCTTGCTACTTACTTCTAACCATTGGAGCAGTAGCAATCTCAGTGCGGTTTCTCACCTTTGGAAATGGAGAGATCGCATGCATGGTTCTGGGTGAGATATTAATGAATTAATATAAACAGATTTTAATGATAAAAAATATAATCTCTCGTAAATTCTTGTTAATTCTTGTTTAAAAATGTTTAGAACTTTATAAGATTATTGGGCAGGATTAACTCTAAAATGTCAGAGGTGTCTTAATTTTGGGGTGTCCCCTTTCTGCATTAAATTAGGGTTAAGGTTCTTTTTTAAACACAATGTAAAACATAAAAAGCAATGTTAAAATACTTGCTGATATTTATCAGAGTATTTTGAGTAATTCAAGTTAAAAAGTATCAATGTCTCGAATGCATATTCATCTTCTGACGATTTGAAAGGAAGACGACATTTGAGAGTAAAACTTTATTTTCATTTCCCCCAAAATCTTGCAGGGTTCTAAAAAACACCTTTTAGGTACCCGATTTCTACGTCTCGATCCTTGGACGCCAATTAGAGGTCTGTAGACTGTAACATCAAAATTACGATACTTTTGGCAGTTTCAAGTTTTCCATTTTGGCTAGGTTGAGTTCGTTAAGAAATTGAGTCAACTGAATTCTTCCAATCCCTATATCTTAGCAACCTGATATTTAATCTCATAGAATTCAAAGCTTAAAATATCAAAGGTCTACGACATTGGGCTGCACAGATGTAGGGATTAGAAGATCAGAGTTTGTGGCAAAGACTCAATTCCTTTTTATCTTTGTCTTTCAAACGTATTATGTGGTTTTGATGAAATTTCGTTAAATAGATATTAAATCCAATTTTCTCCAAAACCGATGAATCTAAACAAATCACATTCCTCCAGTAGATGTAGTGAACATATGCAACAACAGATTGATCCTGGATATTTATAAAAGCAAGAGCTGAAAAATAATGGAGTACATTCGAAAAAGTACGAAAATAGTAACACTTTTTATACTATATGGAGTGAATGTAATTTATTTTTCAAATTATCTAGATGTTAATTTTCAACCAAGCCAAAATGGCAAACTTCTAACTATCATAACGTCCTGTCAAAATATATGAAAATTGAACCATATATGTTGAGACATGCAGTACCTGAAACACACAGTACGAAATAGAATTAAATTATGTAATTTAACAGTTTTCTATGTTTTAACATTGTGTTAAATGGTTTAAAGAGGATGTATTTATACAGGGCACCCATGCAAATAGTATTAGTAACTCTGTATAGTAGCATTATTCTAATTACAAGAGAAATTGAGTTCAAAAACTAACATTTGGCTCATTTCTAACGCTAGACATTATTGAATTTTTTTTCAAGTGTCATTTTCATGTGTTCTTGCGCGTCGCAAGAACGCAGGTTTTTGCTAAATAAAATGATATTTTTACACAGGCGCAAGGAAATCACATACATTATTGATTTTTTTTTCAAGTGTGATTTTCATGTGTTTTCAAAGTTTTTAACTAAGTTGAAAGATTGATTTGAACTTGTTTTATTTAGTTTTGGAAGGCGCACAGACGCCAGAAAATTAAAATGACATATAGCCCAAATTTTGATTTTTGGGGCTATTTACATCTATTGAGAAATTTGAGCCAAATTTGCAAAATTATCTTTTTTAAGCGCATATATATTTAAATCCAAGACGAGTTGAACAAAACTGTCCCATACATTTTTTAAAAATGGCTAAAACTATTTATTGCAACAAAAAATGTCCACTTTAAACTAATAATAAAGTGTGAAAATTAGTTTTTTATGATACTCATTTTCATTTTCGAACATATCTCTATTTTGAAACATTTCAGCTCCATGTCCCGTTTGAGACAGTTACTCGAATTTATATCAATGTCAATTTTCAAATTACGAAACAAAACAAGATTTTTTTTAATGTAAAATATTAACAAAATAGAAAATATAAACATTCTGTTCTTTTAAAATAAAAAAAATATGGCATTCAGAATTAAATTAAAATTTTAATATTATTTTATTCTTGCAATGTAGAATTGCAGGAAATTGCAGTTTAAAATTCAGATAATAAAATCAAATTTATTCTCTTATTTAAGATAAAATGTGGAAACTTATACTCTAGAAATAATTCAGATATAATTTAGTCATCATTAAATAACTTTTACTTTTAGTAATCTATTTTATTTTATGAAAATGAGTTTTGTTTTAATTAAATTGAATTGCTGGTTATAGTTTTAATTTTCGACTTTTACTCCCAATATGGGTTGGGATCCTAAAAAGCCAGTCTTTCAAGTTGTGCCCATTTCTATAACAAAGTGTTAGAAATGGGCCAAGTGTTAGTTTTGGATCTAATGTCCCCTGAAATATACTGATTACAATTTAGGGGCAACAAATTCATCTCGTGGATCTGCAGGATCATATCCAGTTCAAGATGCAGCTATGACAGAATATGCACATTTTAATGAGAAGTGTATAGCTGCTGTTAGCAACAACTACTTGCAGTATCTTCCCTTCATGCTTCTCATTCAAGCAGTTATAATCGTAATGGTGGAAAAATTCTTTAATAAAATTCCTCAGGTTGGAAGAAAAATGGAGAGGTTTTATGTAAATATAGTTGAAGAATCCCTCTTCGGCAAAGATCCAGATGTAGCAGAAGATGTTTGTGATGACAAGGCCAACTCTGAAGCTATTTCAAGAAAACGACGTAGGAATGAAATATGTAACTCATTGAAACAATCCAGTATCATCCACAACACCTACATGTTAAAGAACATTCTGGGAATACTACTTATGATGACCTTTATCCCTTTAAATACTATATTTAATGTCTGGTCAGATGAATATAGAGGGCCAGCAAACTGCTCCTTAGCCGTGACAGATGTTCCTGAGATTGGATACGGAGATGGAATGATCCACTATCAATGCCAGGGGAAGAAGGTCAAGTTTTTTCTCATCCTAGCCTACACTCAAATCACTGTGCAATTCTTTTGCTTCATCTGCAGCCTTGGGTCCTTGGTTTGGTTTCTGAGGTTCCGTAGCATCAGCTCGATGATAAGCAAAATTAAAAAACTTTCACTGGAAAATGTGTTTTTTGAAAAGACCGGAAAGGATTTTTTCTTTTTATTCGACTTACTTGCTCATTCCTCTGGGATGGAATCAACTCTACGTGTCCTCACACATGCAGATGATACAATTTACAGACTGTGCAGGCCATTGATCACCAAATCAAATCATGAGTTTCAGTGTTTAAAGGTATATATCTGTTAGTTTTAGATTAAAACACCCCTGCATTTTATCATACTCTTTTTCAGGTTGAGGAAGATCGAATACATGTGACCTGGTATGCTGCTAGCATTGAAAAGTGGCTCAACACAAACATTGATGGACTTGTTATTGACTCGTATGATGTAACTATATATCCTGCAGAAACAAGCAACAATTCTGTGACTTTGAAGGCTAAGACAGTGGATGATCTTGAAAATGATGATCCTTATAGAGCTAGCTTCCTAGATCTTAACGGAGGTAAAACAGAATATATCATAACAATTGTCTGTGTAATTGGGAAATCAAGAATGAAAGGCATTAGGATTGTTACAACTCTTCTTCCTTATGGACCAGAGAAACCAAGGTCTGGAATGATAAAGGATGTTTCTACAAATGAGATTGAAGTGATCTGGGAACCTCCAAAGGGTGAGTTCACCAAGTATGTCATCATGATAGACCCAAACATTCTAAATGTTCAGAAACCTTTTAAGAAGAAGATCTCCAGTCTATCCCAGATCCAGACCTCTACAATGCATAGTAGTTCTGTTGAGCGATGTGAAACAATCGATGATTATGATCTTAGTGATGAAAGTTGGGAGCGGGAACTAAGTAGCAAATTAACCAACTTTACCATTGTCGGGGTTAATCCAGGGGAAGCTTATCTCATTAAACTCATCACTAAAACTGGAGAAAGGTGCACCCAGAAACCTATCTTTGAGATAGTAATGACAAAACCTGAGCCTGTTATGAACCTTTCAGTGGAAAATGTAACAATGTCAAGTATGGACCTGAAATGGATTGCTCCAGAAAAACACCCCCACCTGAAGGCATACAACCTTAGTCTTCTATCCAGGGATGGAACATACAAGAAGGAAATGACAGTCAAACATGCTGGGGCTACCTTGAATAAATTCACTTTAGATGTACTAAAGGCCGAGACAGAATATGTGGTGTCTATTTCTACAGTTTGTGTTTTTGACAACCTAAAAACTGTTTCTAAATGGGAAAAAGTCAACGTCATTACTCGACCAGAATCTCCGAACTGTTTGATCCTCGAAGGTCGTTTCTGCAACAGCCTCACTGTGTCCTGGAAGCCTCCATTGATGCTACTTTCAAGTTTCCATAAGTACAAGCTTTGCATATACTCACCAGAGATCCATTACTATTCTGTGTATGAGCTTCCAGGAGACAAAGATACTTATACCTTCACTAAACTACCAGACCAAATCGGATCAGGTACAATATATAAATACTAATAAATATTAAATTAAATCTGTTTGCTCGCAAATCTTTGATCCTACTTTAATTGCCCAAACCTACATCTGCATTTCCGATTCACAACGGGGAGCCCTGTAAATATTTGTCTTATCAAGGATAAAAGTACTAAGTAATTACGTACAGGGTGTTTCAAAAACATGGGAATTAAGTGACGAATTGGATACTGTCTTTGTTATGAATCAGCATTGTAATACCTAATTTCAAAAGCCATAATATTATTATGTCTGCTAGAGTTTATTTTATGAAAAGTGTAAAAGACTGTAAAGATGTATCTATAATGTCTCCGTGAGATGAACAGTGAAGACGGACCAGTTTACTCTGTTTGTATACTGCAATTTTCTTGTTTTACTAAGTACAACCGTTTGCAGTAAAAACATAAACAAACAAAATGTGAACATAGCAGACGAAACTCTTACAGATTACAGCTTTATCAGTAGGAATCACTATACTAAATCAAAGAATTATTTAAAAAGACTATATCGAATTCGTCACTAAATTACCATGTTTATTGGGACACCCTGTATTTAGTTAAGTCTTTCCTGTAAAGAATTTGTTATCAAAAATGTATCCAAATAATGTAATTTCTATACATTTAAGACCTGCATTGTTGAGTTTTTCATTAAGAACATTTCAATTAGATACACTTTGTTAAGAAGTTCTTTTAAAAACATAATTATAGTTCCATTTCTAATGGTTACAGATCCTATCAATGTAACTAATGACTGCACTTAGTTCAAGCAGTCAAGCATATTTGTAAATGTCAATCCAAAATAAGCTTTCGAGTTGTAAGCCAAAGTATAAGTATTGGTGTACACTGTCCCAATATCCCTTTTTAAAGTGTTATGTTCTCTAAGTTATGGTTTTACATTTTTCTTACAAAAAGAATGTAAAAGATGTCACATTCAAAAATGTTTTTTAAGCAGTTTAAAAAGTTTCGTAAAATTTTGTTAATATGATTTTCAAAGATTAATTACGTGGTTCTCAATTATGAAAGCTATTAGCAATACTAATCATCGTTCAACGATTATAGGAACAGATTATATTGATTATATTAAATTAATGTTTTTAAAACTGGTTTTTATAAGTTAAAACTTTTAAAGCGAACACTTTCATTATCCTCAATAGGGTTAAAGTACAAATGGTTTTATAAAAAATAATTGCTGATAATTCTACATTTTAATCCGGAACTTTTAAACATTGAAAGAATTTATTTAATCTCATCCTCTAAATTGATCATGAAATGCTGTAGATATTTAGTTTTTTTCAATTGAATAAGTATATGGAGCTCTTCAAATCTGTTTTCGCATATTTCATGGCTATTTATTCATTGTTACAATTAGATTTAGGTTTATTAGTATAAAGCCAAAGAGAATAGAATATATATTAGAGGGGAATTTAGAGAATCTCTCAGTATGAATTTTTTCAGTCCCTATCAGCCTGGAAGGGAGTTCAAAGTGTACAAATCATGTAAATGTTCACAAATTATATGCAGTAGAGTACATTAATACAGTATGTTCCCTAGACTATCCATTTCGATTTCGAATTTTTTAAAGCTGTTAAATAAACTTTATATTGAATTTGGTGAATAAAAAACATCATTTGATTTACAGTTATAACGGAAAATCATCGTTTGTAAAGTGAAAGGCATAGAGTCTCTGTGAAATGATCATTGGTCAATTATGAAACCAGCCTATTTCATAATTTGGTTTTCTTTTATTATTAATTTTAGATTTTCTATAAAATGATATTCCAGGACCCAAAAGGTTATATAGCATAAATATGTGAAGTACACCTGCAGAATGGAAACAGTACAACAAAATGGCCGTTTTACACTTTTTTCTAGTAAATTCCCCTCTAATATATATTCTATTCTCTTTGTATAAAGCCCATTGCAAAATTGTCAAGATGACATTTAATAAATTCTTTTGAACTCTCATAAATTCTAGATTAAACTGAACTACGATGAAACTAAGTATTGAAAAATATGTGGCACCTAATTTAATTCATAAATATCAAAATTTAATAACAATACAGATAGAAAACTAAATGTCGTCTTTTCAAGATTTAGGGGTTTTTCGTTCACAATAACTCTAAGGCAGAAGCCCAAAGGAGTTACGCGCACGCTTTCTCTGTCTTGTTATTCAACGCTGCATGCGCTTAACTCCTTTTGGCTTCTGCCTCAGGGTTAGTGTGAACAAAAAACCCTACATCTTGAAAAGACGACATCTAGAGTTCATTCTGTATTTTTATTAATCTGTGCTAAATACTATAATTAAGGAGTGATATACACTGTAAAAGTTATCCACGTGGTTACTCCAGATGGAAGTGATTCAGAGGTAGGATCATACTAATAACTAAATACCAAATGGAATATTTTTAAAAGTGGGTTTTATTTTTGAGTATTTTCTTCAATGTTTCATAATTGAAATTGATTGGGTCCAAAATCTGACTGATCCTTGTCACCTGTTGTCCAACTGTCATGTACCAGAATACAAATCTCGTTTTCAACCATTAACCCTATCACGTTTCACAATTGAGTGGTGTTTTCCAGACCCCCCCCCACCCCCCTGTGGGTTTTTCTCCATAACTTAAAAACGCTAAACACTTGATAGGGTTTCTATTCGCAATACTTTTGAAAATTTTTGCCTTCGTTGCGCTACATCCTTACGCGAAAATATAGTATTTTGCGCAATCAGTCGCAAACTTCATTTCGCTCAAAATTGTGCCATTCCGCTTGTGTGTTATTCTGATTTGCGCATTTTTGAGGAACAAATTCTCATGTAAACTGTATAAATTAGTTCTAGAAGATTGCACGTTTTTGCAACCTTTGCCACCAATTAATTATGCATGATGGCACACTGCAAATCAAGATGTGCACGCTCTCACACAAAAACCGAGCAGTATTTTTCCAAATACTCCTTTTAAACTTAAGCTAAAAACATGCAAGTTGCATTTTTAGAATGTATATGTCTATGCCTACAAAAAAGTAGGTTGACAAGGTAAAACCGAAGGCCATAGATGTTACAATATTCAAGAGTCAATTGGCTGTATAAGAATTCAATGTCTCAGATGTTTCAAAGTTGTCTATATATCTTAGTGGGCATAAAATTTTGATATTTTGCAGCATATGACAGGATTATACATTTTTAATTTGCAATTTTCAAATTTCTATTTTATTAAGTTTTGTCCCTCAATTTGAAGTTCAAAATTGTAACTAAAAGTAACCAATCGAGAGTACATAGAATAATCATAATTTGTTTTTGTTTTGTGTAAAAATTGTATGTAACAACATACGTGTCATTTGTAAAAATGAAAAATAATTATTTCTGTATATTTTTCCGACGTACTTTTTGAACATTTTTTAATCCTCCCTTGTACCCACGCCAGAGTTAGAGGTAGAATTTTTTTTGATGAGCAGGCCTTGAAAAGTTGGACTAATGACATGTATCACACGCCTCTATTTCAACTCTAAGGGCAAAATCATAGGAAGGGGGGATGGAAAACACCTCCCCCCCCCAGCCAATATTGGACAAAAATAGCCCAGCCGGGAGAGGGTTAATAAAACGACAAAAAAAGTCGTCTTCTTGAAATATTTTGTGTAATATTTTAATAATATTTATATCTAAAATATATATATATATATATTTCAATTAATTAAAGAGAAATACAGAGCGAAAGCCTGTTCTCCGACTAAGCATAACACCTTTGGGCCTCTGCCTCAGGGTTATTGTGAACGAAATACTTCTAGATCTTGAAAAGACGACATCTAGTGTCCTATCTTTTATTTTATATAATCTATGGGTAAACTGTATTAGACGCACAACTTCTGGCTTCTCTTTTTATCACAAAGGAATTGAGTATTTCACACAAACTCAGATTTTATGAACCCTATATCATTCTACCCGATGCCCTAGACCTGTGATATTTCAAACCATGAATTTTGTTTATTCGAATAATCTAAGTTTGAAATGTCAAAGGTTTACACCATCAGGTTGCAAAGCTTAGGAATTAGAAAATTTGAATTTGTGGCAAAACAAAAGAACATGAAAAAGGGATGTAAAAATTCAGAAAAAGGAGTTGTCTGTATAGACCATGATTTTACCTGTTATTTTATAGGTTGAGTCAATGCCCCTGACTTCTGAGTTTTCAACTAAACCACTGCCCCCTTTAGATCTTCAAATAGGACCTGCCTCTGATGATATTACTTGGTCTAGGTCACTAAGCCCTAACGTCTGGTAAGTAAGGAATATTATTTTCGTAAAGTTTCAAACATTTTGTTTAACCCTATAAAGGGTGGGGGGTCTGAATCTATGCATAGCCTGGGGGGTGGCGTTTGGCGGCCCCCCTCCCTAGAAAAAGGCCTTAGAGAATAGTTATAGGGTTGAAATGCATGTTCATAACCTAATTTTTCATGGCCAGCTCAAAGAAAAAAAAATTAGACAAATAGCTGTAATAGTTTGGGTGCTAGGAAGGGTGAAAAAAATGCATAAAAAAGAGTAAAAAAAAATGAAAAAATATTTTTTTGTTTTAAACAAATATCAAAATGTGACACATGTTTCTACATGCATTTTTCAAGGGCTTTCCAAAAATATAGTTTTTAGATCTGTTGCTTTAGTCACAAAAAGTTATGGGCTATTTTAGATTTTTTATCACAGACCGGACTTTTTTCAAATAATATGACATTTTCACACATTTAATAAACAACAATTCCACAAGCTAGATGTTTTTATAGAAATGAATTTTTACAGAAACAGGTTAGTTAATTATTGTTTTTAAATACATAATGTTTTTAATGCAATTTATAAGCTTTTTTGCATTTCTAGTCATTTTTTTAGTGGATATCGGGTTCGGATTCGAAACACCGAGATATTGGCAACAATTGATGATTTTATAATTCCAGTAATAGATGATTCAACGCATTATACAATCAGTTTAAAGGTAACAAACACAAACATTTTTTTTGTATTTTTTAAACGTTCTTTTTTTAATTTTTTTATTATTTTGCCTCATTTGTGTTGTTGATGTCAACTTTCTTTTTCTTCATGGTTTTTGTTACAGATTTATTAAATTTAACACTTAGGACACTAGATATCGTCTTATAAAGATTTAGAAGTATTTCGTTCACAATAACCCTGACGTAGAAGCTCAAAGAAATTACGCGTAGTCGGCAAAGGACAGGATCTCTTTCTCTCTACTTATGATTCTTGAAAAGACGACAGATAGTGTTCTATCTGTTATTTTAATTAATCTGTGGTTTTTTGTCTTTTTATTAAACTATTTACTACAATGAGACCTTGAAAACAATAGAATGCTTGACATCCTCTTATTCTTTCATTTATGAAATATAACTGTAATGATTTCGTAATTTGAACATTGACATCGTCAAATTCCAAAATCCTTATTTTCTTAAGTAAAAGCAAGGTTGTATAATAAGGTAGGATACTCTGTATACGCTCCAATGTAGGTAAAGACGACCATTACAGCAATGGACCCTCTAAATCCTCATATGACATCACTGTTTTTTAAAAGAATATAATAAATTTTGTGGCTCACGAAATAACAAAGACCTCAAAAATTGAAAACTTGAATTAGAATTGCATAAAGCTTCAAGAATCAGTGACGTCATATGAGGTTTTAGAGTCTCTTATGCAATAAAGACGACATTTTCCTACATTTAGAGCGCATCCAGAGTATCTGATCTTATATACAACCTTGAGTAAAAGGAACCACATTTTCTTCATCTTTCCTGGTTCTGACTGTATTATATTGTATAGAGGCTTGAATCTGAAATGCTTCACAAAGTGAATATCTGTGCTCTGGTTCATGATGAGAACAACCAGCATCTAGAGAGCAAGGAACTCCATGACAAGGTCAGACAAACTTCTCATGAAATATAATCATATGATTTACTGTAGTATGAATTACTTACTAGGTGTAGTGCCCGGTGTTGCCCGTGCAAAATAAAGTTTGAATTTTGAAGAAAAAAATGATTATTAAAGAAAAACAATCTAACAAAAATTTATTTATAGTCCATGTTACCCCCGTGGTACCCATGTGTTCCCTCCAAGAATTTCAGCCAATTTGGTCGAGCCGTTTGGTCAACTAACAACATCCTTTGTCACTTACATGTACAAAACGGATATTAGAAAAACATTGGTACAATAAATATACGTAAAACTACTGAAGTAGGAGGGCTTATAAATATTAATATTTGAATACGTGGAATAAGAGAGTCATTATTGTTACGTATGAAATAATTTCCATTATTTTTGAGAAGTTCGATTGTAAAAGATACTTCAGCGAATATGTAAACCCTACAGAGTGCACATATTTAAGGTTTTCATGCTTAATTAGATCTAATAGAATATTCTCCAGTAATCTGAAGTATACTGACCCAAGGATGTAAGGCAAGGAAAGTCATTTCAGAAGTGCACACATCTTTAGTACTGCAGTGTACTGTCTCTGGGCGCTAATGTAAACACAAGACGGATGTCGAAGCCTGACATGGGATCCATCATTCACATAAAAAATCAATGAAATATTCTGGTCATAGGAAACTATTATGTAAATTATCAAAATTATCAAAATTTAATGCTTTTAACCTTCTCGGATACTAAACGAACACTGATGCATCTATTATTGTTTACAAATACCGCCCAGAGAGAACTGGTTTCAATATGTACACAGAGTATACACAACCGCAATTGACTTTCCTTGCCTTACATTCTTGTACTGACCTACCGAAGAAAAAGTAGAGAGTGTTGGGCAATTAGCATTGCAAATTATTCGAATGCCTCTCTTGTGCAATAGATACAATGTTTTTTATGTACTTTACATGCGTAAAAGTAGAAATCATTCCTTCTGGTGAAATTTTACAAACGAATTTACGCCCTGAGTTAGAATTTATATACAGTTCAAACGTCTCGAATGAATCCTAATTTACTTCTCTTTGACACTGCACGTCACTCTCGGTTCAATTAGGTTACCTGGCCGGTCTCTCCCATTAGCGGTAGAAGTCTGTATGATGTGTCTATCTATGTAAGATTAACAACTTTTGCAACTTGTAATTGATCTTTAAGTTTGTATAATTTGCCCATTAGTACAAGCGGCGTAACCGTTTGCAATCAAAACATAAACAAGTAAATCCTAAACTCTAGAAGACATAAATAATGCAAATTCTGGTTTTATCTGGTTATTGATCAGATTAAAACATTAAAACCAGTTTGAGTGGGTTCTAAATTGAATATTTCTAGTATAATTGTTGGTGCAAACTGGAATAATTGGTAAAATTGAAGTGCTGACGAAGGGAAGTTATTTATATACTAGTTTGGGAACCCAGCGCTGCCCAGGTTTATAAAAATTACTCCCGCCGTTTACCCGCACTTAAACGATTTTACCGGGAAACTGAATTTTAGTTATTAAAGTCCACTCATCTTAAAATATAAAAAAGCATGATGTAATGAATTATGTAATCATGCTAGTAATATCTTTATTATCTATGTTCGTTTATCTATCATATCAATGTTTCATTTTGACCCTGACCGGCCATTCCGGTCAGTTCTTTTTACCTGTATCTAATAAAGTAGTATAGTACGAATAGTCGATTTAGACGGACGTGTATAGAGCCTTGAGTTTTTGCTAGAGCCAGAGTCAGAGAGATTGACATTACACTAAGAGTTAAGTATTCGGAGATTTATCGGGGCCTAGATTCATTACAATGCTAAGAACATTTCCGTGAGTCTCCCGAGCTACTCAATCAAAATTTGTGGCAAATCGGACCAGGGATCCGTAAGTTATGATCGAAAAAACAAACAGACAAACACCCAAAAAATGAGATTACAACCTTATATATATATATAAACCGAATGGGCTGATTTTTTTAGGGAACCCTTGAGTACTCGGGGTAACATAGGCCAAACAAATTTAGATTTATTTTAAATCGAAATTTTTTAAAACAAAATACGGAATTTTTTTGCTTTTAGATTTGATTTAAAAAATTCCACGGGCAACGCCGGGCACTTCATCTAGTCTATTATATACATATATTGCATGGGGGGTTTACTTAATCGACTTAGAATTTCAAAACCAAGCTAAGAACATTCCCATGGTTTTACCGAGTTCCCAAAACTAAATTTGAGGCAAATTGGTCAAGGGGTTTATGTGATTATGATCGGACAAAAGAACTAACAAACAGAGAATACTACTTTGTCTTGTATACAAAGCGTATATTGTCTGTCATCAAGATTTCTCGAAAAGTTTCTCGAAAATTGAAAATATTTTGTTTTAGTTTATCTTGAGTGAAGGAGAACTCATATATTACAGGGATGAAAAGGTAAATAACCGTATATGGATTTAAACATAGTTACAGGTAGGCTGGTTCCGGGGTAATCAAATTTAAAAACGACCAAAAAAACTAATGTTTTTCGTTTCGTTTTTGTTTTTTCAAAACTAGCGAACTTTCGTAATTTGAAAAACGAAGGGAGCTAACAAACTGTTTGTTTCCAGCTTTTGAAAAACGAAAAACGAAACGATAGTATGTTTCTTTACTTAAAAACGATCTTCTTTGAAAAATATAAATTTTACAGGTTATAATTGATTTTTTTAATAGAAAAAAGTTCACATATGTCGTCTTACATATGTTTTCATATTGAGGAAAGTTTTTTTTTTATTAATTTAGCTACAAGGTTTATCTTATTTGGTTTAGCTACATGGTTTAACTTATGTGGTTTAGTTACACGGTTTAACTTATGTGGTTTAGCTAGATGGTTTAACTAATATGATTTAGCTACACGGTTTAACTTATGTGGTTTAGCTTCACGTTTTAACTTATGTGGTTTAGCTACACAGTTTAACTTATTTGGTTTAGTTACACGGTTTAACTTATTTGGTTTAGCTACACGGTTTAACTTATGTGGTTTAGCTACACAATTTAACTTATTTGGTTTAGCTACACGGTTTAACTTATGTGGTTTAGCTACACGGTTTAACTTATTTGGTTTAGATACACGGTTAAACTTATGTGGTTTAACTACACAGTTTAACTTATGTGGTTTAGCTATACGGTTTAGCTTATTTGGTTTACCTATACACGGTTTAACTTATGTGGTTTAGCTACACGGTTTAACTTTTTTGGTTTAGTTTAAGGTTTGTAATATATAAGACCTGTATTCTCTATGTAATTTATGTAAAAAATGTAAAAAGATAAAATTTTGTAACATTTTTATTTTGTTCAAAGAAAATAAATCTGAAAAACTATTGTTTTTTTCAGCTGTAATGCTTTGATAATGATTGCGATAGATTATTTTTGTCAATTTGTTTAAGTAAATATTTCACATTGATTACTTAATAACTTGAAGAATAGAGAGTTAAGTTACGAAGCAAAATGGTTTGATTCTATTCGTTTATGGTATTGTACATTTAAACATTGGTGTCAACGACATGATTATGGTAAAAATAACTTATTTAACAATTCGATTTAATCAGTTTAACAAATTTAGCTTCGTTATGTTTATATATATATATATTTATATAGACAGGGTTGACTTTGAAGTGTCGCAACGCCTTGGGCTTTTATTTTACCGCTTTAACCCCTTTACATATACATTTTAGCACTATACAGCACTTGTTCTTATAGCTTTGCTTTTTAAAAAGTAATTGGCAAAATTCTAATCGATTTTTGCTTGAGGGCTTGAGAGCGCACCACGCTTTTGGGCGCTTCGCGCCCATCTTCTTTTTTAAGTTTTTACGTCTTCTTCCTTAATGTTTAAGTTGTTTGATACCAAAAATGTTAATAAAAAATATTATATGGCAGTCATATTATACTAAAATTAATTTCAAAGTAAAATTTATTTGAATAAAATGCTTTTTAACTAAATAGAGTGTACAAATTTCTTTAATACAGTGATAACCAGAAAACTCTGAAATTGGAAGACGATTTTTAAACTCAAGTTATAGCTTTAAAGTCGTCTTCATTTTTTAGGGTTTTCTGGTTATCACAGTATCTAACACAGTAAGTGGAAGAAGACATTCAGAACTATTTACCAACTGTCATGTTTAAGTTGTCTCTTAACAAAGGAACACAATCTGTATATTCCTCAACAAAAACTTGTTTAACCCTATTTCGGTTGGAGGGGGGGGGGGGGAAGGAAGCCCCCACTAACGTTATTTGGAGATATTTCGCGCACTTTTAGTTTTTTTCACAGTTTTTGCTTAATAACTTGATATTGCAATAAATATTTAAAATTGTGAAATTTGCAATTTTTTAAAGATTATTAGAGTATAGGGGCTTTCCAAAAATGTATCAAATGTTATAGATTTGTATCACAATAAGAAAAAAGGGGCTCCAGACTATTTTGGGTAAATCAGACGTCAGCCTGAATAGGGTTAGCAGGACTGTCGTCATATTTTGAAGTAAACCTCCATTTTAGATTGGCAATACCCGATTCAAAACAGTACCCTTGAAACCTTAATCTTATTAAAATGTGGAAGCAGTTTTTCTGGCTTTAAAAGAGTTTAATCCTGATAATTTCTCCACTTTTTCAGATACAAGAAATGCACGAGTCACTTTTGCATAGATTTAAAAAAAACTGCAACATGAATATCATAATTCTTAATCAACCAACACTTTCAGGGTACCATGGTCAATTAATGAATATCAATAAAGGCCACTAGAAATTACGGTAACAACTTCTTTAAAGGGACTGTAAGCGCATTTTTTAAGGACTCTCCATGCAAAGAAGGCAATTAAGCTTACAGTCCCTTTAAGTACCAACTTGAACATTCCAATCCCTTTAAATGAATAACTAAAGGATAGTCCTAAGATGCAACATAATTATGAATAAAGACAAGGATACATATATATGATATTCATTATATGTATCAAGTATTAAAAAATATGAACAGATCATATTAAAGACCATGGAAACCCCAATTTAATCTAATCACCAGGTAATACAGTTCCCCTTGTAATCACCAGGTAATACAGTTCCCCTTGTAATCACCAGGTAATATACAGTTCCCCTTGTAATCACCAGGTAATATACAGCTCCCCTTGTAATCACCATGTAATAAAGCTCCCATTGTAATAATCAGGAATGAAAGCTACCCTTGTAAACACCAGGTATGAAAGCTCCCCTTGTAATTACCAGGTAATACAGCTCCCTTTGTAATCACCAGGTATGAAAGCTCCCCTTGTAATCACCATGTAATACAGCTCCCATTGTAATAACCAGGAATGACAGCTTCCCTTGTAATCACCAGGTATATCAGTTACCCTTGTAATCACCAGGTAATACAGATCCCCTTGTAATTGTAAGGTAATACAGCTCCAATTGTAATCATCAGGTAATATAGCTCCCCTTGAAATCAACAGATAATACAGATCCCCTTGTAATTACCAAGTATGACAGCTCCCCTTGTTATCACTGGTAATACAATTCCCTTTGTAATCGCCAGGTATGACAGCTCCGCTTGCAATCACCAGGTATGATTGCTTATTTTCTATTTTATTCTTTATTTTGTTTAGATATTTTCTTTACAGGCCAAACAGGCTTAGATCAAGATAGTTTTGAGTGACCTATACACTATAAGCTACAGTGTTTTTTTATAAAGTGTTATTTTTGATTTCGTAAAATGAAAGACAACAATCCTCCAAAAAAGGATAGAAAATTGTCCACTACTTCTTCAAAACTATACATTAGCGAATTTACTTGAATATATAATGGATAATCTTACAAAAACGCGTCATCACGAAGTCTTATCTCCAAACCAAGAAACCAGATTGAGAAGAAATTTTCGGATATTATCTGTTTGGATGTCCATGTCAGTCTATTGGTTTGGGAGCCCAGTTTAAGGTCATATACCCCTAGATCAGTATAGAACTGTACGGAAACGTTTTTAGTGTGTTTTAAAGATTCTTAGTTGAGTGGGACGATTTTTTTAGGAAAGACTATAACTGCAATTTATGGAATTTACTCCTGTCCGGTTTTTTGGGGGCTTTGAGAGAAATAGATTCGCAAATGAATAGTTTTGAAGAAGTATTGGACGATTTTCTTTCATTTTTTGTTAGATTTTTATCCATACCATTGAACGAAATGAAAATAAAATAAAACTTTAGAAACAACACTTTGTAGACTAAAGAATAAATAACTTTTTATTTACTATTAGCGAGGTTTTACCAGGGAGAACTGCCAACTTTACCGGGAATTTACTTTTTCGAGTGTTTTCGAGACTTTTTTGATGACATTTCATCACGAGCGTAAGCTCGAGGGATGAAATTCCCCTGAAGGAAATTCTCGCTATGAGTAAATATGAAGTTTTATCCCATTCTTTAAGATAATAAATACATTTATTCTAGAAGAGCTAGCAGCGTTGATACATCTCAGGAATGGAAAAATACAGAAAGTTCTGGTGAAAAGGTTCAAGATACTGTGAGGTTAGATTTCAAACAACAAACAAACATTTCAAGATTACAAACACAAAATGTAAAGTTTGCAAGTAAATCTTTTTCAAATTTACAAGAAAGGAAAACCAATGTTTAGTTTTTAGAAAACCCATTTTTCTTCTTCTTATCTAGGGTTTCCGGAGAAATGGAAAAATTTCTTTTTTTCGCATTCAGTTCGGTTCGTTGGAAAAATTTCGCGAAAAAATATGCGAAAAATTGTTTTTTTTTTGGCAAATCTTGCATTTTTTTATCCCGCAAAACAGATTAACTTGAAATTTCGTGAAAAAAGCAAACATTTTAAACAATTTTTCTCGAATTTGTTGCATATTTTTTTTTCTCACGAAATTCCGCACCTTTTTAGCTTCCTTTCGCGAAAAAATCTAAGTTTTCGTTTGCTTAATCCCTATTCTTATCCAATACAATATCCAATACAATACAGATGAAATCTTTTACTGTTTTCTTTCCGCTTAAGGATTGTTTTAAATGCTTATCTCACGTGGATTTAACGGTTCTGTCAATATTCCAGAAAGCTGTGACTTTCAATCACAATTTGACCCATTCAGCATAATTTTTTAGTCTTTTTTCTGATATACTTTTTTACCGGCATATAGGTTTTGAATGAAAAATAATCCGCAAGTTTAAAGATTGTTGAATTATAGACCAAAACATAAATTTTTGTTCAGTAAAAAGAACGTTCCAAATTATAATGCATTATTTTCATGCTTAAAATTGTATTCAATATCTTCTTGAAGAGTTCTCTTTCTTCTGCAAGCATGTTTTTTTAACCTAAATACAATTTTTTCAAATGGTTCAATTCTTTAAAAAACTTGCTTTGATGTGTCACTAATCCTAGATTTTGATGTATAGATCGCGCCCATGTATTAGTGTATATCATGGGAATTAAAAGGCAAATTCAAGTTCGTCTTTGTTTAGAATTATTATTGTATTCCCAAATTCCAATAGTCGAGATAAACAGTCATAGGAACAGTTTCTAAATTTACAAAGTATAGTATCATAGTATGCAATAAAAACATAAACAAACAAATTTTAACTCAAGCAGACGAAACATCTTCAGATTACAGCTTTCCTGGTAGGCATCCCCATACTAATTTAAAAAATTCATTTACAAAGACGATATTAAAAACGTCACTCATATCCCATTTTTATTCAGACAACCTGTCAGTATAATGTCATGTTTAGGAGAAGCAGTTTAGAAGTTCCTTTTCGTAAAGTTAAAGATGAGTTTGACCCCAGGTACAAAGACCTGAATAAAAGGAAACGAAGTAATTCAGATCTTGAAGAAAAGGAAGACGATGACATGAACCACAACATCAATATAAAAGACAAGAACAGTGTGGGAAGAAGACGCGGCAGTGTTCATGTTGTGGATCGAAGACGACTTGAACATATGTTTAAGCACCAAGGTTCCCCTCCTAAAAGAGTTGAAGAGTCAAGCTCTCAGTGTAAGCAAGGACTGTTGAACTCTCAGACAAAGGAAAGGGGTGTTATTTGGGAGGATTTGGTGCAGGATAACAGGATATGTATGGGGGCAAAGAAGAAAATGGTTGGAGCTCAGGATATTGAAATACAAATAAGCGAGCATTGAAAATAAAAAGAAATCTATCATTATTATTTGTCATCAATTATAACCAGAAATATTTAAGCAATATTAAACATTTTTTGTAACTTTTTATCTTTGAATCATATCTACACAAATATAAACTTTAGAATATTTATATAAAAATCTTGTAACATCATGCATGCAGTGGAAACCATATAACAGTGGAATAGGAAAACGACTGTTTGTCAAGTTATGATTGTTATAAATGAATATAAAACACTGCTCGGGGTACATCAGCCTATTTTATCAAGTTTTCAAGGTACTCGTCAATTTTTTGCTTAATAAAGATTACAGATAAACATCAAAACAACATACGCTTTATTGAATGTCGTCTTCATTTTCCACTGTAAAAACACAACAGAGAGCTTTTCCAAATTCAATAATAGTATAAATATTGAAAAACAAACATCTGTGAAAGCACAATTAATTAGTTTACTTTTCTTTTTTTAAGAGAGAGACTATTTGAACACTTAGAAAATGTAATATGCTGGTTCTATAATGGTAAAATAAACCAGGTTAAATTTGCCAGGTCCCATACAAACAATTAAATTTGCCAGGTCCCACACAAACAAACAATTAAATTTGCCAGGTCCCACACAAACAACTAAATTTGCCAGCTCCTACACAAACAACTAAATTTTCCAACTTCCACACAAACAATCCAATATGCCAAGTCCCACACAAACAGTTGAGATGTATTGTTTTTTTTTCTTGAGTTTTCAAACCAACAAACAAAGAGAAAGTCTGCAATTTATGTAAATGAGAAAAGTCCATTAAAATGTTTGCGTGAAACAAGGTGAAATCTGAGATTATAATATGGAAAAATTTTATTGGCATGAAAGATGATTACATTTTCATGTTCTACTCTTTTACCTTTACTAACATCATCGTCTTTATAAGTTATGTGTACAAGGTTAGCCATCAAGAAAAAGGAATCAAAATTTTTTTAAACAAAGCATTACTGGTTCATTTTGGTCCATGCTGCAATCATTTGAATCGTATCTTTAATATATATAAAGTTGTAATCTTTCTTTGTTTGTCCGATTATAACACAGCAACACCTTGCGCAAAAAGCGTAAACGCATATTACTTTGGCTCCAATGACGCAATTATAGAGCAAATTTACGTAACTCTATGATTTTAAGTTAGTGTAAATATCTAATTTTTCTAAGGAAAATATTATATAGCCCGGCTCTAAGTAAAAATATGATGAATTATTTTTTTCAGACACACAAATTGCGTAAAAATGCGCTCAATTTGCGTAATCGCACACAACTCTAAATCTAAATTATTTGTTAAATATCTTAAATGTCAGATTTGCATAGCATTTTCCAAAAAAAAAAATTAAAATATCTTTAAAAAAAAAAAAGTTTTCTTTATTAGCATTAAAAGTGCCTAAAAAATTCGCTCTTTTTAAGCATTTGTTTTGAGGAAAATGTACATTTTTGGACATTTGGAGGAAAATGTACGTTAGATTCTGACGTGTTTGTTTAACCAGTGGCGTATACAGGAGGGCAGTAGTCCTCTTGCCCCTCCTGGGAGTTCCAGGGGGGGCCTCCCCCCTGAAAAATACAAAAATAAAAGGAAACTACGTTTAAAAAGTTGCACCTGACAATGACAAAGACTAAAGATTTAAGTTTAAATACACGGTTATAATACAAAATTTTAAGATACTTTAAACTAAAACTTTTGCAAAAACGAGACCTCGACACATTAGATGCTTATAACAATTGATGGAAGATGTAATAAAGGTATTCTATTTTCTATTTTTCTATTTTTCTTACAGTCAATTAATAAAGGAATTGAGTCATTGCCACAAACTCAAACATTCATACCTTTGGAACCTGATGTTGTAAACCTTTGATATTTCAAATTCAGAATAGGTACGCCTCTGACCTGACTGCCATGTCTCAAAATAATTTTATCTACAGAAAACTGTGGAAAGGATGACGACATATATAGCAATCCTTAAATCTATTTGATGTTGTTACAAAGCAAATAGGTTAAGTAGTAACTTATAAAATCACTTTTAAATTTTATGTTCATTGAATTCCAAAGTTTTCTTGTTCCTATTTATATACTTTGCTCGTCTGGGTGTTTGTCCGTTTGTATCCAATAAACGTCAAAACTCAAACATCTAAACCAACCGAGCCCAAAATTTGTGAGGCAACTCACATGGCCCAAGGGAAGGTTTAAAACATGGTTTAAAAACTTGTACGGGAAAAAATGTTTAAATTTATTATTTTTTTAATTCACCAACTTAAAGCCTAGTTTTTATAAACTCTTATTTATATGGTTAATTTTATCCCATCCTGATCAAATACGGAGGGTGGGGGGGGGGGCCCCGCCTATCCTATGACCTTCTTAATAAATAAAAAATTAATTATGTCAAAGAATATTGTGGGGAAAGTAAAAACTGTATCAGTAAAATAGTCATGATGAACTAAAACAAAATATTTGTGAATATATAATTATAGAGCTAAATGAAGAAAATGCGTATTTAATATATGGCAACTATAAATAAGTTTTAACTTTTAATGTTTTAACATTCCTTTTTATGTCTAACATTGTGTTAACATTTCCGGTTTACAAAATGGAAACTGGAAATGTAAACCGGAAAAATTTCAGTTTTGCGAAATGGAAACTGGTAATTTTACGGTTTTTTGTTACATAAACTGGAACATTTCCAGTATACGTCACGTAAACCGTAAACATTCCGGTTTCCATTTGATCCGGAATTATCCCGGAATTCCGGTTAACGCAACAAATTTCCGGATCATTCCATTTCCAAAATGGAACTTTTGTTCCGGAAACCCTAGTTCTACTCAAAAGCTCTTAAATGAGAGGGTTTATGATTGAAAACATATTTATGATGAAACACCTGTTAATCTGTTTTAACATTTTCCTCATTCCTATAGGTCATGGAAAATAGAAGTAAATAAAAATTGTTTATAAGATTAAAGGGACTGTAAGCGTAAATTTAAGCAACCCTACCGCAAAGATAACAATACCCAAGCAACGGTACACCTTTAAAAATGTGAAAGATAGCGTCGTTTTTCTGACTCAAAAAGTGTTTATTTCTAAGAATTTCTCCATTGTGTCTTATAAGCAAGAAATGTGCAAATCTCATCAGCTTAATCAACCAAAGCTTTTAAGGGTTGTAAATCCAGCACAGCCATATTTGCATAGAGGGTCATTTGAAATTACGCTTACAGTCCCTTTAAAGACGCAGAAAGAAAACTTTCTTTTCTTTGGATAGTTTTTCTTTTAATTTTATTTTATTTTCTGAACTTTGGTTTTTTACTTTTATACTAATTTTTATATTATTTCAAACATCTGTCGTTTCTTTCCGTTTTATGTATATCTCTTTTTTATCCTCCTTTCTTTCGTATTCGCTTTTTTAAACTTAAAACCCTTTTTCCTTTAATTTATATTTCACCTCTTTACATCAATTCTAAGCTTTTATAATATTTCTATGTTGGCAATATTATTTTTTTAATTGGTTTGTTTTTTTGCTTCATTTTCTTTATTTCTTTTATTTTCTTTCTCTAACGTTGTAATTAACATATCATAAACATAATATCAATTTCCTTTCCCTGTACTTTCCGTTCTTCCCTTTTTCCGGGTCCCCTCCCCCCCCAAATTTTCCCCCCTCCCCCCCCCCCCCCTTCCCACTTCTTCTCTCCTTCTCTCCTTCACCCCCTGGACTCTAGCTGGGGGCATCATGCCAGAGAAAGTGTTCTTTATCTATCTATCATGAGATGAAAACCCTATCTATCTATCATCACTTTAACTATCTATCTATCTTCTCAGTTCTGAACAAGTATCTTTCTATCTAACCACTTGAATTTACTGTCTATCAACCTATCTAGTTATCTATCTATCTGGGTTTAAATATCTATCTATCTATCCAGCATATTTGGATTGAACTGCTTGGAATTCAGATGTTCTGTATGTAGGACTGCCTGTATGTGTACGGGACCGTAGAGCCCAGCAAATAACGGGCTGTACATATCCCACAACTGTACATAAACTGTACTTCTAACTTAACCAAATTGTGTTCAAATGATAATTTATTAGTTGTGAAGGACAATATGTTATATGTAATAAGTATACTCTGGTCTAAGATGAGACAGTTGTAGGATTCTGTGTTCCCGGCTTATACAGGCAGTCAGGCAGCTTAGGTGCCAACAAGGCAGTGTCAGGCTCAGGCAGACACACATCATACTGTAGGACATACACGTACATACTTATATCCAACCTCACTAGAGCTACAGGTCCTTCAATTTTAGTTATATATATTCACAGTGATTTTACCATCACAGCTTCTCAGCTCCATGGTAAATATGTATCTCATGTTTAGAGCTGTTTTTTTTACCTTCTAACCTTGGGAGCAAGCAATAACAAGAAATGTGTCCTTGCCCCTCCCAAATCTATTTTTTCGAATATTGCTCCTTTGCTGGGTGTTACTTTTAAACAGCTACTTTCTTGTATGTCTAGAAATAGTACACTGAGGACCAGAAAACTGTAGAATAGGAAGACGACATTAAAGATATGCTTTAGTGTATTTCTGTTTTTTTTTAAAATCCTTCATTAAGTGAAATAGGTCTGTTTACACTGCTGCTGTGTTTCGTGTTCATTGTATAAATATTTAAACCCATAACTTGAGTCTAAAAGTCGTCTTCCTATTCCACAGTTTTCTGGTTCACACTGTACAATTTAATACAGAGGACCACACTTGATTACTCAACCTACCAGCTTATAACCTTGCCTGACCACTCCTTATCTTTAATTTATTATTTTTATTCTATCCTGAATACTTTTTTGTAAAGTCTAATTTTTTCTCTTATTCTTTCCAAACTAAACTTAACTTTTCCAGTTCTACAAGCTGATTAAAAACCTTCTTAATTCAAGATGCTTTTAAACATATTTACTTACTTCAAGAAGTTTCTAAACCTATTATATTACTTCAAGCTGCTTCTAAACCTATTTACTTACTTCAAGTTGATTCTAAACCTAATTAGTTACTTTCAGATGCTTCTAAACATATTTACATACTTTAAGTTGCTTCTAAACCTGTTTAGTTACTTACATTTAAAATTCAGTGATGGTGATGGACCAAACCTCTGTAGAGTAAAAAAGTAGATGTTAGTTCCACATTTACTTACAGCTGCTTCTAAACCTATTAATTTACTTCTAGCTGCTTCTAAACCCATTTACTTAATTCAAGCTTCATCTTATCTAGATACTTTCATTTCCTCTAGCTGCTTCCATCTTATATCTAGCTGCTTCCATCTTATATCTAGCTGCTAAAGACCAGCTACTTCCATCTTACTACTGCTACCAATATTCTTATTTTTTAAGCTGTTTTAAATCTTATTTTTCCTATGAGACACTTCACATTCTTTCTATAATATTATTTTAATAACTTGCTTGGAATTTGTTTCCCTTTGATTTAAAAAATAGTTAACTCTGATGCAGAGTTTAAGTTGAGTGTGGAAATTAGACACCACTGTTGGATAAAAAATTAAATATGCACAAATCTGTCTGAAATAATCTAAAAATATCATTTTGGTGAAAAATGGCAAGATAAGGAACCGGTTTATTGTATATATATATAGTACATATATATATATATATATCTATATACTTATATTTAAATGACGCCATTCCATAGTAAAAATGAAACATGTGGAGATTTTTCTTAACAAATTTTTCAATCAGAACCATGTCGAAATTTGGTTGAACTCCTCTTAAAACCTACCCGCCCATTTATTCGAAAAAGCGCCTCTAATCCGACACAAATGTCTTTTAAAGATCCATTTATTTTAGCTATCTCTACATCTTGATCTGAACAGTAGGGAGGGAAGCTAGAGATATAGAAATATACAGATCTGCCAGGGAGGGGAGCTAGAGATATATAAATTTACAGATCTAGCAGGGAGGAGAGCTAAAGATTTATAAATATACAGATCTAGCAGGGAGCAATTGAGCTAGATATATATAAATATACAGATCTAGCAGGGAGCAATTGAGCTAGATATATATAAATATACAGTTCTAGCAGGGAGGGGAGCTAGAGATATATGAGTACACAGATCTTGCAGAGAGGGGAGCTAGAGAGATATAAGTATACAGATCGAGTATGGAGATGAGCTAGATATATATAAATATAAAATTCGGTGATAGTGATGGACCAAACCTCTGTAGAGTAAAAAAAGTAGATGTTAGTTCCACGTTTATTGAAAATATATTTCCGTCTGGGTTGACCCTCGTCAGTTCTTGAGGATGTTTTTGTCACCAAGATTAAAAATATACAGATCTAATAGGTAGGGGAGTTCTATTTGTGGAAATAAAAGGACATCATATAAACTATAAGGTTGTTATGCATATTTTAAGCGTATCATATATACTTTAAGAATGTCAAGCATACTTAAAAGATCACATTTACCCTAAAAATTATGATTCATGCATACTTTAAAGTTATCATGCATACTTTGAAGTTATCATGCACAATTTGAAGTAATCAAATGCAAAGTTTAAGGGTTTCATTCATAACTTGAATTTCATGCATACTTTGGGGTTATCATGCATACTTTGAAGTTATCATGTATAATTTGTAGTTATCATGCATAATTTGAAGTTATCATGCATATTTGAAGTTATCATGCATAATTTAAAGTTATCATGCATAATTTAATGTTATCGTGCATAATTTGAAGTTATCATGCATAGTTTGAAGTTATCATCCATAATTTGAAGTTATCATGCATAATTTGAAGTTATCATGCATAATTTGAAGTTATCATGCATAATTTGAAGTTATCATGTATAATTTGAAGTTATCGNCGTTAAAAAATAGAAAAAAAGGTTGGGGTGTACAGTAAAAATAGAAAAAAAAGGATGGGTGTACAGTGAAAAATTGAAAAAGGATGGGTGTACAGTAAAAAATAGAAAAAAAGGATGGGTGTACGTTAAAAAATCGAAAAAAAGGATGGGGTGTACGGAAAAAAATATTAAAAAGGATCGGAGTACAGTAAAAAATATAAAAAGGATGGGTGTACAGTAAAAAGCCACAAACTTTTGACATTTCAGCTTTCTAAAACTCATTTAAAGTCGACATTTTGGCTTTCTCCATATGTTAAAATTCCAGATGTGCTTTCTCACACTGATTTTGACACACGGTTTATCCTGGATTCAGTCGATAGATGTCTCTAGATGGTGTTCATTTGCTATTTGCCGCTGAAAGCTTTGCCGCCATGTATTTTCCAATTATGAATATCTGGGAAAGGAAAATAAAAAGCTATTCAGTAAGGTTCTAGTTTTTCAATTAGATATATTTTTATTATTTAATATCATGTTAAAATGTATTTTACTCATGAATTGAATATTGATTATTTTCACCATGCCAAGTAAGCAAAATCAATTAATGATCATAATATATGATATGTTTTAAACTAGATTCAGAAGATATGATATGTTTTAAACTAGATTCAGAATATATGATATGTTTTAAACTAGATTCAGAAGATATGATATGTTTTAAACTAGATTCAGAAGATATGAAATGTTTCAGCTAGTGTTTAATTAGTATTGTCTCGTAATTGTACATATATTCTACCTAAAACTGCCAAATGTAAGAAGCAATCCAAATGTAGGCTGATTTTTATGAGAAATATTTATGGCCATCAAAAATAATTTAATGTTTACACGTCATGTGGCAAACTGGTTCTAAAATAATAAACTTAAATTGGATTCATTCTTGAAAATTTTCAAGACAAGCAATTAACAACATTCTTATAAACGCATGATTTTGGGTATTCCTGCGACAAAAACATGTTCTCTTTAAATATATATATGTTTGTTCAGTGAGATATATACATATATATTAATTTATTATTCAATCAAAAAAATGAATTGCATCCTAGGACCTAAGACACGACGGCGTTTCATGGAGTTGCTTCAATCTTCAGCGAGGTCAAGTTATCATGCATAATTTGAAGTTATCATGCATAATTTGAATTTATCATGAATTTAAAGTTATCATGCATAATTTAAAGTTATCATGCATAATTTGAAGTTATCATGCATCATTTGAAGTTATCGTGCATAATTTGAAGTTATCATGCATAATTTGAAGTTATCATGCATAATTTGAAGTTATCATGCATAATTTGAAGCAATCAAATGCATAGTTTAAGGGTATTATATACAGCTTTCTGTTTATTTAATCAGCAAGGGCGTTGGATAAAAATATTTGAAGATTAAACATGGTTTTATCTATTGTAATCTCTATATATTAGGCTAAGGTCTTTGCATGAAAATCATGTTTTGGAAATTTTAGCAAATTATTTAGAATTTAAATAGTAAGGTACCTGTTCCAGGTTTGAATGAATGCAAATATGAAATTTGAATAAATTAAGTTTGAAGTTTACCTTTACACGCGGCTAGGTTCTACTCTAAGATATGCCTCATCCGGTATCTGGTTTCCGGTTCCTGGTATACGAGGCATTCAGGCTTATTCTTCGCAAATATAAGATTATTTATAAGGTTTTTTTACGTAAATATTAGGTTTTTTTTACGTAAATATTAGGTTTTTTAACGTAAATATTAGGTTTTTTACTTAAATATTAGGTTTATCTTTCAAAAATATTAGGTTTATTTTTCGTAAAGGTTTCTTCAAAAAAGTTTAGGATGTATTCCCTATATTTCCTGTATTCTCTGTATTCCCTGTATTCCTTGTATTCCCTGTATTCCCTGTATTCCCTGTATTCCCTGTATGCCCTGTATTCCCTGTATTCCTTGTATTCCCTGTATTTCCTGTATTCTCTGTATTCCCTGTAATCCCTTTATTCCCTGTATTCCCTGTATTCCCTGTATT